GTTCAGTTCTTGGAGATTTTTGGGGGATTTTTTGGGGTTTTTTGTTGAATTTTGGAGATTTTGGGGGCATGTTTTGGGATTTTTGTGGATTTTTTGGGGTTTTCTCCCCATTCTTCTGGAATTTGGGATTTGGGGATTTTGGGCTGATTTTGGGGTTGTTTTTGGGGTGGTTTTGGCATGTTTTTGGGCTCTTTTTGGGGGTGTTTTTGGGTGTTTTTGGGGATATTTTTGGGCTGTTTTTGGGGGTTTTTTGGGTGTGTTTTGGGCTGTTTTTGGGGTGGTTTTGGGCTGTTTTTGGGCTGTTTTGGGGGTGTTTTTGGGCTGTTTTTGGGCTGTTTTGGGGGGTGTTTTTGGCTGTTTTTTGGGCTGTTTTTGGGGTGTTTTGGGGGGTGTTTTTGGGATGTTTTTGGGGCTGGTTTTGGGGCTGTTTTGGGGATATTTTGGGGCTGTTTTTGGGGATAGTTTTGGGCTGTTTTTGGGGTGTTTTTGGGGGTGTTTTTGGGGTGTTTTTGGGTGTGTTTCGGGCTGGTTTTGGGCTGTTTTTGGGGGTGTTTTTGGGCTGGTTTTGGGCTGTTTTGGGGGGTGTTTTAGGGCTGGTTTTGGGGTGTTTTTGGGGGTGTTTTTGAGCTGTTTTTGGGGTGTTTTTTCGGGGTGTTTTTGGGCTGGTTTTGGGGGTGTTTTTAGGATATTTTTGGGCTGTTTTGGGGGATATTTTGGGGCTGGTTTTGGGGATATTTTGGGGCTGTTTTTGGGGTGTTTTTGGGGGTGGTTTTGGGCTGGTTTTGGGGATATTTTTGGGCTGTTTGGGGGATATTTTGGGGCTGGTTTTGGGCAGTTTTTGGGTGTTTTTGGGGCTGGTTTTGGGGGTGTTTTTGGGATATTTTTGGGCTGTTTTTGGGGATAGTTTTGGGCTGTTTTTGGGGTGTTTTGGGGCTGGTTTTGAGCTGGTTTTGGGGTGTTTTGGGGGGTGTTTTTGGGCTGGTTTTGGGGGTGTTTTTGGGATATTTTGGGGTTGTTTTTGGGGATATTTTTGGGTGGTTTTGGGGATATTTTTGGGTGGTTTTGGGGATATTTTTGGGCTGGTTTTGGGGATATTTTTGGGTGGTTTTGGGGATATTTTTGAGCTGTTTTTGGGGATATTTTGGGGCTGTTTTTGGGGATATTTTTGGGCTGTTTTGGGGGCTATTTTGGGGCTGTTTGGGGCAGTTTTTGTGTGTTTTCGGCTGTTTTTGGCTGTTTTTGGGCTGTCTCTCTCACCTTTGGCCGAGCCCAGCACGTCGCCGTAGCTGAAGCCGCCGACGAAAACCAAACCCCGGAACCCGTCCAGGGAGGCGCCGTCGGAGCAGAGATCCTGCGTGGTCACGTCCCACACCTGGGCCCAAAACCCGGATCAGAGCCCAGAATTCCCAAAATTCCCAAAAATTCCCAAAAAAACCCGGATCAGAGCCCAGAATTCCCAAAATTCCCAAAATTCCCAAAAAAACCCGGATCAGAGCCCAAAATTCCCAAAATTCCCAAAAAACCCGGATCAGAGCCCAGAATACCCAAAATTCCCAAAAAACCCGGATCAGAGCCCAGAATTCCCAAAAAAACCCGGATCAGAGCCCAGAATTCCCAAAATTCCCAAAAAACCCGGATCAGAGCCCAAAATTCCCAAAATTCCCAAAAAAACCCGGATCAGAGCCCAAAATTCCCAAAATTCCCAAAAAAACCCGGATCAGAGCCCCAAAATTCCCAAAAATCCCAAAAATCCCAAAAAACCCGGATCAGAGCCCCAAAAATCCCCAAAAACCCCCAAAACCCCCAAAAATCCCACCCAAAATCCCCAAAACTGGGAGTGAGCAAAAGAAAATTCCCCAAAAATCCCCAAAAACCTCAAAAATCCCCAAAAACCCCAAAAGGGACCCCAAAAAACACTAAAAACCCCCCAAAATCCCAAAAATATCCCAAAATTCCAACCCCAAACTCCTCAAGACGGGAGTGAGGCCAAAGAAACCCCAAAATTCCTAAAAAAGTCCCAAAAACCCCTGAAAATTCCAAATAAAAAAAACCAAAATGGGAGCGAGCCCAAAAAACACCCCAAAATTCCCAAAAAATCCCAAAAATACCACAAAAGTCCCCAAAAATCCCAGGAATTCCCAAAAAAAAACCCCAAAATCCCCAAAAATCCCCCAAAAAATCCAAAAAAATCCCCCAAAAATCCCAAAAAAATCTCATAAAATTCCCCAAAATATCCCAAAAAATTCCCCCAAAAAATTCCCCCAAAAAATCCCAAAATCCCCCAAAAAAATCCCCAAGAAATCCCAAAAATTCCCCAAAAATCCCAAAAATATCCCCAAAAAAATTCCTAAAATATCCCAAAATATCCCAAAAACCCCCCAAAAAAATCCCCAAAAAATCCCAAAAAATCCCCCAAAAAATCCCAAAAACTGCCCCAAAACCCCCAAAATTCCCCAAAATCCCCCAAATTCCCCAAAATTCCCCAAAAAGTCCCAAAACCTTTTGTGCTCCCGGGGGTTTTGGGGTGTCCCGGCCGCTTTTGGGTCACTTTGGGGTTTTTTGGGTCATTTTGGGCAGTTTTGGGTCCCCAGGTGGTTTTGGGCCATTTTTGGGGTTTTTTGGGGTTTTTTTGGGGTATTTTGGGCTGTTTTGGCTGTTTTGGGGTTTTTTGGGGGTATTTTGGGCTGTTTTGGGTGTTTTGGGATTTTTTTGGGGTATTTTGGGGTGTTTTGGGCTGTTTTGGGCCATTTTGGGGTATTTCAGGGTGTTTTGGGCTGTTTTGGCTGTTTTGGGGGTTTTTTTGGGGTATTTTGGGGTGTTTTGGGCAGTTTTGGCTGGTTTTGGGTTCTTTTGGGGTATTTCGGGGTGTTTTGGGCTGTTTTGGCTGTTTTGGGGTTTTTTTGGGGTGTTTTGGGCTGTTTTGGCTGGTTTTGGGGTTTTTTTGGGGTATTTTGGGCTGTTTTGGCTGTTTTGGCTGTTTGGGGTTTTTTTGGGGGTATTTTGGGCTGTTTTGGCTGTTTTGGCTGTTTTGGGGTTTTTTTTGGGGTATTTTGGGGTGTTTTGGGCTGTTTTGGGGTTTTTTTGGGGTATTTTGGGCTGTTTTGGGCTGTTTTGGCTGTTTTGGGGTTTTTTTTGGGGTATTTTGGGCTGTTTTGGCTGTTTTGGGGTTTTTTTGGGGTTTCTTGGGGTGCTTTGGGCTATTTTTGGGGTGTTTTGGGCTGGATTTTGCCTTTTTTTTGGGCTGGTTTTTGCTGAGTTTGGGGGTTTTTGGGGTGTTTTGGGCTGTTTTGGCTATTTTTGGATGGTTTTGGCTGTTTTTGGCTATTTTGGGCTGGTTTTGGTTGATTTGGGGCTGGTTTGGGCCATTTTTGGGGTATTTCGGGGTGTTTTTGGCCGTTTTTGGGGTATTTTGGGGTGGTTTTGGGGGGTTTTGGGGGTTTTTGGGGTGTTTTGGCTGTTTTGGGAGTATTCTGGGCTGGTTTTGGTCATTTTTGGCAGTTTTTGGGGTATTTCAGGGGGTTTTTGGCTGTTTTTGGGGTGTTTTTTGGGGTTTTGAGGGTATTTCTGGCTGTTTTGGGGTATTTTGGGCTGTTTTTGGCCGTTTTTGGGGGGTTTTGGGGTATTTCGGGCTGGTTTGGGCCATTTTGGCCGTTTTTGGTTTATTTCGGGCTGGTTTTGGGGTATTTTGGGCTGTTTTTGGCCGTTTTTGGGGGTTTTGGGGGTATTTCAGGGTGGTTTTGGGGTATTTCTGGCTGGTTTTGGGGTATTTCGAGGTGTTTTTGGGGTATTTTGGGCTGCTTTTGGCCGGTTTTGGGGGTTTTTGGGGTATTTTGGGCTGGTTTGGGGTGTTTTGGGGGTTTTTTGGGGTATTTGGGGCTGGTTTTGGCCGTTTTGGGGGTTTTGGGAATATTTCGGGGTGGTTTTGGGGTATTTTGGGCTGTTTTGGGCCGTTCCTGGG